TTGGTACTTCTTTCTTATGTGGTGGGCTTAGTTTTCAATTATCTATTCCTCATTTGCCTAACATTATTTGGCAGATAGCAAATAGTGTTATTCTTTGGGAAGTGTGGAAAGAGAGAAATAGACGGACCTTTGAGGTGAAATCATTGCCTCTTTCAATTTTATTAAACAATATGTATGTCTCTATTTGGGCTTCGATTTCTGTTAATAAGGAGGGGAGGAATATTAGCAAGGTAGATGTCAAGGCTAACCTTGGTAGGCTTTTCTTTCTTGCAAGGCCTAGTACAAGATCAAGAAGTTTTTGGATGGCGCCTATTGGTGAGTGCTTTAAGTTAAACTTTGATGGCAGTTCTTTGGGGAATCCAGGTGTTGCAGGAATTGGTGGGGTGTTGCGTGATTCTTCGGCCAACATTATTTTTTCTTTTTTTGGCCCGATTGGAGCTAAAACAGACAATTATGTAGAGCTAAGTGCTTTGTTGTGTGGGGTTAAAATTCTGGCTGATAGACTTCCAGGTAGATCTTGTATTTGTGAAGGGGATTCCTAACATATTGTTAAATGGTGTAATAAGGAACAAAGAGTTCCTTGGGAATTGTGCGACCTCTAGCTACAAGTGATGGATTTTAGTTGAAACAATCTCTGATTCCTTCATCCATATTTTTTAGAAAAGCTAACTCTTTGGTGGATTCCTTGGCGAAGGGTGGGGCTCTTTTACCTTCTCTTGTTGTTTCAAATGATGTAATCTCTTTCCCTACTTAGTAATAAAATCTTTAAATCTTTGTCAAAAAAAAAGAAATAAAACAAATATAAAAGACACCACCACAACACATGATTTACTTGGTTCACCCCGTAGGGTCTCGACAAGTAGAAATCTATTATCACAATAAAGATTACAGTTTTGGGTTACAAGGGATATACATATCTCTAAACATAAGTAAAAAACCATCATTGATCTTCCCTTCTAAACACGTTTTCCCGACCGAGCAGTATCGTCGATTAATACATTCTTTTCCACTGCAATATTGCTACTAGAAATATAACCTCACGAGCAACTGAAAGACTTTCTCTCTTTAGAAGTGAAAGTTAATCAACCCAAAACTCCTGAGAATAGTGACTCTCTCTTGGAGGCCATGTCTCTCTCTCTTGGAGACCAATCTTCATCTTTGGAGATCCATTCCTATAAACCCCAAAGGAGAGACCCTCAAAAGGATGGGTATTATGTCTTCTTTGATTCCCATATATAAATTTTACTTTCTTGCTTCTCAAGAAAGCCTTTTTTCTTTTTACCATAATACCCTTGAAAATATTGGTATAGTGATTTGGCTATCCCCAAACTTAACAATGATCTCTGATCTCTTTTTGGGGTTTAGACTATAAGGTTGTGGTAGAAAAGATAAGCATCTCTCACTCTCAAACTAGTTCTTAAGGGGATTCACCTAGGGTTTAAATTTGTAATCAAATGGGTTCATGTTACATTGTTGTAGCTTGTTCAAACTTGCTTTCCCGGTTGAGATTGAAGGTTGACCATTAGATCCCGCAACATCAAAATGTGTGACTCGGCGTGAGGTGTAAGAAGCCCGATTGAGGTAATCTCCGGCACCCTATTTTGTTTCTATATTTATTTATTATATCTTTTATTCTCAAGCATAGGTTGTGTCTTTTTTTTATTAATGAAAAGTGTTGTTTTGAATGGCTTCAAATTCTTGAGATCCTATTGTATTATTTTATTTTATTTTATTTGAAGTTGTTATATTGTAAAATGACTTCTTGTGAGTGATCTAAACCGTAAAGAAAAGAAAGAATTGAAAAAGAAAGAAAGAAATTATTATATACCCCAGTTAGATCACATGTGTTTTTCTTTCATGTAATACGATTTTAGTTATTCATGCATTTGGTTTTGTTTTTACATTATATCAAAAAACATATATGTTGTTAGATTTTTTTGCCCTCAGTTTTCTTGTACTAAAAAAACATATATGTTGTAGTGCCATAACTTATAGTTCCGAGATTGAATTAATGAATTGTCACATGAATTCAACGAGTGAAAACATCATGACCAAAATGAAGAACAACATCGTCTTTCATTTTCGTTTTAGGCAGTATTTTACGAATTATATGCCTTATTGTAATCCATATATGATTACATACTTCATCCATAATAATTTTATGCTTCTTTTCTGTGATGTAAATTTAATTGTTAATAATAGTTCATACAGGGAAAGAACATCTCAATATTCGCATATTGATGCAAATAAAATGAAAGTTAATAATGTAGTAACTCCATTTCTTATTGGATTCCTAAATTGTAATGATTTTTTATAATTGTTTTGAATTTTTTTAGGGCCAAGTCCGACTGATCCAGCTGATTCACAGATCCAAAGTGGTTTTTGGGGTGCCCGATCCTGGGCATCGATCCATTTTTTAAATCACATGTTCTCTCAAACCCCTAAGTCATCTTTAAAAATTTGACTTTTTGCTCAAAAGAAAAGTATATATAAGGTGTCAACCTTACAAGAAAAGAAAATACAAGGTTCAACCTTATAATGTAAAAAAGCATTTAAAAAATCCATCAAAAAAAGTTCTTCTGACATTAAAAACCCTCAAATTGATTTTCTCAACCTCAAGATATATTGATATGGAAAAAAAAAAAAGATTTTGAATCCCAACAATAGAAATCATGTAACATAATATTTAGACTGTAATTTTGAAGATATTTAAATGTTTATATATTTGCTTGATTAGAACAATATTTAGAGTTCAAAAGTTTACCATTTGATGTAAAAATAGATTTCTAGGCCATCCTAATACTTTTTAACACCAAAACTACATCTCCGGATAAAGTTTGGAAGTATGCCATAGTTTGATTAGTTAAAGTTACAGCCTTATTCACACCATACCCTATTCTAAAATCTAAAGGAAATATTAGATGATCCCCCATCCAGTGGACATTAGGACAAAGGGTGGCAATGGCCGAGCCAGCCCTGGCCCTAGTCCAACCTTTGTCCCCATGGAGCTGGCCTAAGCCCAACCCAGCCCTAACAGAGCCAAGGCCTGGCCAAAAATAAATAAAACAAAAGAAAAGAAAATTTAAGAAAAAAAATAGGTCATGCCAAACCAAGCTGACACTAGCCCTAACCCAGCTGTCAGGCACAGTTTGTGACCCCTACGCTATGTTTTTAGGGACGGACCAACCCGATAGGGCTGCCCAGCCCATTGCCAGCCCTAAAAGGAAATAGTTTGCATAAAGGTGAGGCCCTAAACAATCGAAGTAAGGCACACCTCAAAACTTTATTGGAGAAGTTGTTCCAATACCCTAAAATTCTCAAGTTGAGTATCTTGACTTTAAGATGTATGGACATGAGAAAAACTGAATTTCAAATTTTGAAAATAGTATATCTTATACAACATTTCCTATACTGTCAATTTTCAAAATTTTCAGTGTTCATAGATTTGCTTAATCTACATTCTTTTTTGAAAGTTTAGATTTTATAATTAGAGATAAAATAAACTTTCAAGCCGTCATAATGATTTTTAGTACCAAAACAACATCTTTCAATACTATTTGAAGGTACGC